CACAGCAAACTGTAGTTGGCTGCTACTTGTGCTGGGCTTGGAGGTGTTCAGGAGAGGCCAAGCTGTGAGCCAATGCAGGCTGCCACTAGTGTCAGGCCTGGGGCCGCTTATCAAGCTGTATGGGGCTTGCTGCTGCTTGTTTGAGAGATTTTAGAAAAGTCCTAAGCATGAGGCTCGAGAGGCCACTTGCAGAGAAAAGCCCCTGGAAATGGCCTGGATGGGCTGCAGGAGGGGAGGGGCAGGGCCTCCGGGAATCACAGGGCGGGGCCAAGGGTGTGAGTCAGGTGCTGGCAATTCAAATATGGCGCCTGCCTGCTGGCTGTGTGTGGGGAGGATTCGCCAAAAGAGCAACGGCCTCTGCCAGCTCCTCTGCCTGGGAGGAAGCCACCCCTCCGCCTCTCGCCGGGACTTCAGGCAGGTTAGTTCCTCCCCGTGTCCCAGGTCCTTTCCAGCTGCTGCCCGGCGCTGGGCTTCAAGGGAGCACGTCGGAGTCCATGCACGGGCCCTTTAAGAGGAGCTGCTGGGGCTCCCACAGCCTCCACGACCCTCAGGGACAGTCCCCGCTGGTTTCACAGCCCAGAGTTGTGGGGGCGTCTCTTCCGGGCCTGGAGCCCTGGACTGGGGGCCTGCTCTGGGGCTGAGACACCCTCCTTCCTCTGTGAAAACTCCGCTGAGATTCCCTTCCGGGTTTCAACCTCGGCACTGGGTGTGGGCCTGCGGCCACGTCGCTAAGATTCAGCCCCGATTGCCCACATCTGTGCCCCTCCTACCAGTCTCAATGCTTCTTCAGTTCCCTGGTTGTAGGGCTCTGTTCAGCCAGATCTCAGGAGGCTCTGAGTGATGGTGGTTCTGTATTTTAGTTGTAATTTTGATGTGGTTGTGAGAGGTGGCGGGTGCAGCTGTTACCTACGCTGCCATCTTGTTTTTCCTAATTTTTATTTTTAATAAACATGTCACTAGTTATACGTGTTCCTATTTTTTCGTTTCATTCTTGGTAGCTTGCATTTTTCTACAAATGTATCCATACCCTTTAAATTATCTGTTGAAATCCAACTTTCTGTAATATTACTCAAAATATATTTTATGTAGAATGACTGTAATGTTTTCTTCCACCCAATTTTATATTTGTTATTGTCTTTTTTTCTTGGTTATCTAAAGCTGTCAATTTTTAATTAGTATTTTCAAAGAACTATTTTTATTGCTTTTTTAACTATGTCTTCTATTGCTGCTTCTTTTTCATTATGCTAGACTTGCACTTAATACATGTATTAACACTTGTTTTATGTCCTAATTAAGATCTGTCCTGGATAATGTACCTTGTATGCTTGAGAAAAATATTCTATTGTTGACTGAAATGTGTTATATATGCCTCCTAGGTTTAAGTGGTCTATGTTGTTTGCGTGCTTTATTCTTTCTGGTTGTTCTATCGTTACAAGTTGCATACTGAGTCTCTACCATTTTCATGGAGTTTCCAAGACTCTGTTCAGTCTTCTGGCTCTAGAGGTCGTGCTCTGTTGAACTCTGGTTCCCAACCAGTGCAGAGCCTTCCTTCATATGGCCAAATCCTGGTCTATTTGGTCCTGATAATCTCTGCTGACCTCACATTGATGACTTTCTGACACCTGTCCCACCACAAAGGTGTGCGAGCACCTAGCATGTGGCAGCTAGACTTGGTATACCCAAGGACTATTGCTGAGTAGCTTCACCCAACACTGTCATTGAGCTTCACCCTGCATCAATCTGAATACCACTCGCCCTGACCTGGTGACTTACTGAGAACCTACCTCATACAACTCAAGTACCACCAAAAGCTCTTTCAGTGACTGAACCTAACAGGCAGCCAAAAGGCAGAGGCAGATGGAGACAGATCTCAGGGTGACTTGGAACTTTTGCTGATCAGCGCTGAGGCTTAGTGCTGGGGGAAGCCAGCCTTGGTGTGCAGCTTTGTCCTTCCTATGCACAACCAGGTCCTGCAGAGGCAGCCACAAACTGTGGATCACTTTGTAGCTCCAAACAGGTTGCCCAGGGCCAGGCAGAGGCTGACTTTGACCTATAACAGAGTCTCTCCCAAAGGCCTCAAAACCAATGAACCCAGAAGCCAGCTTCAGACATCATCACAGAAGGATCTAATTAGTTTCACATGCAACATATCCAAAGGGGCATCTTGATTAGGCACCTCCACAGCAGCTTGTACACTATGGTTGGAGTCAATCCTCATAGCTAGCCAGCCTTCCTACACACATGAGACAAAACCATATAAAGATATAGTCTTCTTTATATTTTTCATCTATAAAACTAAAATCAGGTAAAGATGTAGTCCCTTTACATTAATTTGCTCTGCTGGAAAAAACCCTCTGGGAAAAAAAAAATGTGGTGTTTCAAAATCTACTTAAATCTTTTCTATTAAAGTTGTGTAAGATTTCACTGTGTTTAGCCTCACCCTTAATTTCACTTTACTGTATTAACTTTCAAACAAAACATTTAAAAGGTCATAATATAAATTCTTGATAAAATATACACAAAAATAGGTTCACACAATAAAATAAACCAGTAACACAAAGTAAGGCCAAAATATACCCAATGGACATTTTATTATATTTCTTAGCTGTGGTCCCATCCTTTTCCTTACATCAGTTTATCATCAAATCAATTTTTCATTTATATGTTGTAATTTAATTGTTCATAAAGCCCAAAACTATAGCTTACAAACACATGAGTTGTGACAATAAAATAATGCATTTTAACACAACTTTTTTGTATAGTACAAACTATTCTCATTTTGCCATTAAAAGTTGCATTATTTAAGAAACTCTATACAACTTAATGAACACTGTTGACTAGTATATCAGTACTTTCAATTTTGAGTTCATTGCATATTATCTAGCAATAAATTTTTGCAACTACTCATCTTAAGAATTAAAAACTGCTAATCACACCCACGTTTGAAAATCTGTAGTTTGTAAATGCTAGTTATTTATAATGCCAACATAAAATGATGAAAAGAATGGTATCATAGTATAAAAATACAGTACAGCTACAGTAATATAAAAAATAGCCCCTTCTAACTTCAAATGTAGATTTCTAACTTCCTTAAGTTATCAAAAAATCAAAGAGAATATCTAGGTAACAAACATACACAAAGACCCTGAAAAAAAACTGCTTTGAACTTACCACTGACCATAAGGCAATTCAGTCAAAACACCCAATAACTGGAAAACATTTTATTTATTCTCTCCCCCCACTTCTTCCTATTAACTGCAGACAATTGTAGTCTTTTACCCCTAAGTTCCATAAGATCAAAAGAGTAAAGTGTTAACATTTTATTTAAAGATATATAATAATAAATACTTTAAAACAATGGAAATAAATCAGTGTGCATTAGCAAACTGCATTCATCCTGAAGTTTCATTCTTCTTAATAGGTGATGGCCAAAATCCAAACTGTAGAACTAATAATACTCTGAAACATTAGGTTCAATTTAGATCTGTAAGTGAAAAGAACATCAGATCCATGTTAAAAGAATTCTTATAATAGACTACTGAATAAGGACCTCCTTAGACTATATCTAAAATGAAACTGTTCTCAGTTCCCATCCATTGCCAAATCTTTATGGCTTTGGAACTGTTATATGTCATGAAGGCTATTTTTAATGAAGTTTAACATCTCCTTCCTCTTTTTGTCTTTACTTTTATTGTTGACATTATTACAAATGTCCCCATTTCTACCCCCACCCCCCACTTATTATAAAATTTACTATTAGAGGAGTTGGAGAAGAAGAGAAAGAGAAACACACTGATGTGAGAAACATACATCAACTGCCTCTTGTATACCTCCTACAGGGAGACTGAACCCACAACCTGGGCATGTGCCCTAACTGGCAACTAAACCAGCAACCTTATGGTGCCTGGAACGACACCCAACTAATTGAGCCCCAGCAGCCAGCCCCTGCAATAATGTGGTGAAGGCCTGGTAGTTGGGTGGACTTGGGGTGGAGGGGATCAATGGGAGAGAAAAAGGGGGCATCTGTAATGCTTTCAACAATAAAGACATATAAGTAAATAATATAGAAATAACTACACAAATAAAATACTGATTGCTATGTTCTAAAAAAACAAAAGAGACCACCAATATACATACCACAAAGATTATACTGTTTAAGTATTTCTTCTATACTTGATCTGTCACATCTATCCTTTTCATCTATAAATATTTATTACATTTTGATATAGTTCCAAATGTTATGTACATTTTCAAGTATATCCAGATATAGGAAATGAAAAGGATATTTTTCACATATAAACACATACATACTGCAAACCAAGAATGTGGCAGTGACAAAAAGGATAATGTAGTCTCAATATGTACTTTGACAGTGGGCCTCCATTTTATTTTATTTTATTACTTTATTTTATTTTATATTTTATTTTATTTATTTTATTTATTATTTTATTTTATTTTACTTTATTTTATTATTATTTTAAATATATTTTTATTGATTTCAGAGAGAGGAAAGGAGAGGAAGAGAGAGACAGAAACTTCAATGATGAGTCATTGATTGGCTGCCTCCTGCATGTGCCCGACTGGGGGATTGAGCCCGCAACCTGGGCATGTGCCCTGACCAGGAATCAAACTCTGATCACCTGGATCCTAGGTCAACGCTCAACCGCTGAGCCACGCCTGGTCGGGAAGCCCTCCATTTTAATAAGGCTTTTAACGTATATTACAATTTCAATGCTTCATCAAACTGGTTCAAACAAGATCCTTCTTTTAACATATTAATATTTCATTTAAGAGAAGACACATTTTTAGAACTGTTTGCTATATTTCTTAATAGCTATCTCTGTAGACACTCTTAACCAAATTACCAATATGCAGTACCCACTGTCAAAGCTAATACTGATCTTTTCAGAAAGAAATGTTGCAAAGGATTATAAATTTTCTTTAAGTATAAAAAGTTAGACTACTTGGTTTCTGAATATTAATGAATATTCACATTCATGAACAAGCTTCCAAACACACTGAATTTAAGTGTTCAACATTCTCAGATTAAAGGAAGTTAGGGAAAACATCTGGTTTCCTTGCACATAAAACAAACAAAACCCCATGGGGTTTATCTACTACTTACATCATCAATGTCTTCATCATCATCTCCAATATCATCAAACTGGATTTCATCATCATCTCCAGGACCAAATGTATCCGTTTCATTGATTTTAGCTAAAGATAGAATAAATATAATCACATAGGTAATCAAGATGTTATCAGATTAATTACCTATTAAAAGAAATGGGCCTAATAAAAAATAAACTATTAAAGATTCTTACAAGTGCTACTGCAATTCAAATGTTTCATTACAAAAAAAAAAAAAATTTCCAAACTTCGAAGAACTCATACAGAGCAATTTCAAAATAAAATTCCCAGAAGTTCAGTGCTAAGTAACTATAATGAAGGGTATACGTGCTATAGTTTTACTTCATTCAGAAAGGTATTATAAGAAAGACAAGCAGGCTCTAACTACAGTAACTCTTATACTTCCCAAGTATGCTTCAAAACAGGTCTGAAAACATGCTAACAACTTCCTCAGCACATGTAGTTTTCCTAAGAACTCATTCACTATTAGACTTACCAAATCAGTCATAAAGACTTCATTAAATCATGCTTAACCCCTTAGTCAGAGATTTTTCATTTCTAATTACTAAAATTCTGCAGTGCACCAAAAAACATATTTTTTCCCCGATCTGACAAAAAAATAGGTATAATTTTTATTCATTCATAGTGGATGGTTTTTGTGTTGGCTGCTGTCATTTTTTAAATTTGACAGTCTAATGGGAAACAGGTCAGTGCCCCTGACTAAATACTCAAGCACTGAGTGTTTTAAAAATTATTGTGGCACATTGGTTGAAAATCACTGTCCTAAGCAATAGAACTGAAAAAGGGAATATTGGTCTGATTTCCAGATATTTTAAAATAATTTTATCAAAATTTTCATGATTATGTAAAGATCTTATATTTTCATTATAAAATGCAGTGAAGTAAAACAACTAAATAAAATAGCTGACAAGTGAAAAATGTGAGTTTAGAAATGTAAGCTTAGTACACCTACTCTTTAATGTTATACTGACCTTACTTTATCTTTTTAAGTGGTCATTAAGAATAAAAAAAAAAAATTGCCTTGGCTAGTGTAGTTCAGTTGCTTAGGAGTATCATCCCATGTACCAAAAGGATGTGGGCTTGATTACTGTACAGTGCACATACCCTGATTGTGGCTTCAATTCCCAGTCAGGGCATGTATGGAAAGCAACCAATCAATGATCTCTCTCACACTGATGTCTCTCTTTCTCTCTCTCTCCCCCTTCCTCTCTAATATCAATAAGCATATCCTTGGGTGAGGATTTCAAAAACAGAATAAAAAGAAATACCTGTTAAAAAATACATGCAGCCCTGGCCACTGTAGCTGTATGGCTGGAAACTCATTCCATAAACCGAAGGGCTGTGGATTTGATTATGGGTCGGGAATATACCCAGGTGTGGGTTTGGTCCCCAGTCAGGGTGCATACTGCATTCAGCCAGTCGATGGTTTTCTTTCACATCAATATTCCTCCCCGCCCCCCAAACCAATGAACATATCCTTGGTAAGGATTAAAAAAAAAAAAAAAAATTTAAAAAAAACCTCTATGAAATACTATGCTAAGATACATTGACCATTGTTTTCTATAAAAATAGAAATAAACAATGTCATAATTGTTGTCCTTATATACTTGAAAACTGACAAATCTCTTTTGAGAACTTAAAAGCGCTACATAAAAATGCATTTCCTTAACACATTATACACAAGCTCAGAGCTTAAAATCTTTTAAACTCCCTACCAAAAGAACATGAAACAGAATTTTATTCCTAAAGTATTAATACTGTATAGAGGCATACTTAAAACTAATTTTTGTTCAGTACATACATGAAAAATATGTAGAAAAGACAGAATTCTATCAAAACTGCTTCACTGAAACAACAAACTAATAATGCCATAAAACAGGAAAACAAAACTTTGACATTACCATGTTCTGGAAGCTCGCCATATGCTTTCAGACTTCTAGCTTCATCTGCATTGTACTTTAAAATTACATCAGCTTTGTTATCCTTAGAGATAGATAAATAACTTCTAAAACTGGATTTGCCAAAACATCAATTGTTTCATAAATTACTTTCAAATTAAACACATTAAGGTAAAGCTCACTTAACTGTTCTGTTACAAACTCTCCACATTCCTAAAATATCCTTGGATTTAATTAAGTAGAAATCATTTTGCATAAATGACTAAATAATGATTAATAGCCTAGAGAAACTGCTTATATAATTCATTTTAAAAGAGAGAAAAAGGGGAAAGAAAAATAGAAAAGTTGCAATGTGGTAGCTTCCCTATCAGAACTGCTTGTGGCGTTTTTAAAAACATAATTATATCTCCTGTAGACTGAAAGACCTGAGGTGAAGTCTCAAAATATGTATTTTAAAAGAACTTTTTAGTGTTTCTGTTGCAAATGCCCCTCATAATACTGTTCTAAAATGTTCACAGTTGGCCATTTTAAAAAATGAGTCATCTGGAGGGAGAAAGCAGTATTTGAAGAATACTTACAATTAGCCCAAAAAACCTCAAAGAAAAGAAAAGAAAAGAACAGTGATAAAACTGCAGTGTGACATAAAGCAACACTGCATACGAAATGTGCATACAAAATACAGAGGGATTTTATTAATCCTCTAAGAATTATGGTTTCTGCCCAGCTGGGAGTGGCTCAGCAGTTGAGAGTCAGCCTAAAATCCAGGAGATCGCAGTTCAATTCCCAGTTCGGGCTCGATCCCCAGTCGGGGGCATGTAGGAGGCAGCCGATCAATGACTCTCTCATCATTGATGTTTCTCTCTCTCCCTTTCCCTTCTTCTCTTGGAAATCAATACTATATATATATAAAAGAATTATGGTTTCATTGCCCAGAAAACAGGGAATTAATAATTACTCTATCCAGTTTTGGGGTTTATGTGAAGTTAGGACCAGATTATAAAACAACAAAACATTTTTTAAAGAGGGATCACAAGCTTTTATCACAGAATTTCTTAATAAGGAAAAAATATATGATTCAGTCTATAAAAATCAAAACAAAAAGTTAGTTCAATCAAGTTTCAGGACAGAAAATCAATATACAGGGAAATAAGTCAGAGAAAGACAAACACCGTATGAGTTCACTTATATGTGAAATCTAAAAAACAGAATAAACAAAGAAAATTGAAATACTCATAGACAAATTGGCGGTTGCTGGAGAACAGGGGATTGGGGATAAAGCAATTAAGCAGTATACAAACTGGTAGTTATAAAGTAGTAATGGGGATGTAAGTAAAGCGTAAGAAACACAGTCAACCTTCAATAATATGTATGGTGCCTGGTGGGTACTGGAAATATCAAAGAAACACTACGTAAAGTATATGACTATCTAACCACTAAGCTCTATACCTGAAACCAATACAAAATAAAATTGAAAGAAAAGGATAATAAAAAGGAGAAAACCCAAATATGAAAAGCAGTTGTGTTTATACACACTAGCAATGAACTGTGTGAATAAGGAATCAAGAAAACAATAGCATTTACAGTAACATCAGAACAAAATACTTAGGATAAAAACTGTAAGGTACTGATGACTGAAACTGAAGACGTAATGAAAGATACCCAGTGTTCTTTACCTGGAGTTAATACTGCTCAAGTGTCCATACTAGCTACCCAAAGAAATCTACAGATTTAATGTAATTCTACCAAATTACAATGGCATTTTTCACAGAAACAGAAAAACCCCAACATTCATAAGGAAGCACAAAGACTCCCAATAACTTCTGGTCAAGATGGCAGTGTAGGCAGTAAACATGGTACTTGTTTCCTCCCACAATCACATCAAAAATACAACTAATCTTTAAAACAACCATCATTTAGAACTGCCTGAAATCATTCCAAATAAGTCCTGCAACGAGGGACTTACAGAAGCCACACTGAGACTGGTAAGAGGAGCAGAGACATGGGGCCGGTCCCACACCCAGATAAATACTGGGAGGGATACTGGTCCTCCCTCTGAGGAGTGAGGGGGTCCCAGCCCACACCAGGCCCCCCAGCCCCGTGTCCCAGTGCCAAGAGGAGGAGTCCCCGCAACTTCTGGCTATAAAAACCAGTGGTGATTGGTGACTGCGGGAGGCTGAAGCTGCTGGAGTCCCAGGCAGATCCTCTTAAATGTCTGGTGCACAGACTTACTCCGACTCAATCCCTCAGCGCCAGCACAGTGGCAGCAGCTTGAAAGGCACCAGAAACATACATGAAGTGTTTGGCATCAGGGCCAAAGCTGTGGGGGAGAGAAGGGGCATACACAGTTCTCCCAGAGGTGCTGTTCCCTTTCTGAGCCCTTCACACATAAAGTCAGCAGGCAGGGGCCATATCTGCCTCTATCAATCTGGCCCCCGTTAGCCCTGCCCTTTTGGGCTCACCAAAGCTGTTTCCAGGGGCTTTTCTGGCTCATACTTCAGACTTTTGTAAAATCTCTCAAACAAGCAGCATCTGGCCTCAGCATACTCTGTACACCTTGCTAAGTGGCTCCAGGCCAGGCACGAGCAGCAGCTGGCCTTAGTTTACAAAGTGGCCTTGCCTTGGCAACTCTAAGCCCAGCACAAGTAGCAGCCAACTGCAGATAGCTTTGTAGCTCATGCCATGGCACCAGGAAGAACACGGACAGAGGCCTGCACCTCCTGGGAGGCCCCAAAGCCAGAACACCCCGTGGACAGCTTCAGGCTACGTGGAAGCACCATCACCACACCACCACATCCACAAGTGATACATTCAAGAGGCAGACTCAGCACACCTTCAGATGTGCTCAAGTTAAGTCCTGCTCTGTAGGGTGGGCCACCGCACACCTGAATCCACGGTGGCCAGAGGTTGGTGCTCACTGGTAGTAGCGAGTCCTCATGTTACAGGGCAGTAAGGAGCTAGGAAAATTCCAGGGCAAGGAAAATAGGAAACTGAGACAGGAAAGTTAAATCAAGACTGAACAGTGTAGGCAATTTGCAGCCAGCCTGCAAATAAAAAGCCATTATCTTCACCAGCCAAGGGGACTTGAGAGCAAATGGTTAAAAACCTCCCCAACCAGAGAATGAAGGTAAAGGGGGGGGGG